ATCCTCGGGGAGGACTGGAACATACTGGTAAGGGAATCTGAAGAAAAGACTGCAACAGCAGAGTTTTGCTTCATTCACATGTAAAAAGAGAGGGTTTATTTCAGTGCTAGCAAAACTGGCAGTACGACAATTAGCTTTGCTACTATACAAGCTCTAAACAAAAAACCGTATGCTTGCCAGTGAAACATTTTATGTCATAATCCATCATCTTTGGCTGGTCTCTCTCCATCTCTCTCACATAGGGTTTTGTGACCTGATCTGATAATCTTGGTTATGCACACATAACAGAAAACGCCGATGCATAAAAGAACGAGCAAACGGAGTAGGGAGACCCTAATCACATGGGATTTACAGATGACAGAAAATGTTGCCCTTAATCTATTTCATATGGTGCATATTTGTGGTCTAGAAAAAGTGTATAAACATAGTTATATGCATTTGAAACAGATTAAAAACAGTATGGGTTGATCTATGGTTTAAAAAGTCTTTTAAGAGTCATGTATCGGCTTGAATGTTTGGCTTCTATTTTTAAATCCATTTAATGCTACGCTTGCATTGTAATAAACATTTCAGAGCAGAGTTCCTGATGTCATTCGTGTATGAGGTGCCAAATCTGGCACCTTATACAAGGTGTTGCCATTACTCTGTTAGAGATAAGAACCAGAAAGCTTTGCCATCATAGCTGACTGTACAAGTGGTCCTAGTTCATTTCAGGGAGTAAATTAAAGAGCTCCGTTAAGTCCACCACAAAAAAAATTATTTGAGCTGACCTGTGTAATTTTATTCCCCAAAATGAAATAGGAATAACCCCATTATTTGTTAAAACTGAATCTTCAGTACAATTTCAAAACTTTACAGGTCTATATGTAGGATGAAGATATTATAAATTAATTTGGGGGAGGAAGAAAAAGTGTGGGGGAATGGTTTTAGCTATAGGAAACACTATGGAGAATTGTATTTGTATCAGGTCATTATTACTAAACCCAAAACAAAACTTCCCAACAAGTACGGAAAGAATCCACACCAATGCTTGTTAAGGGAAGCTACACACCTCTCTGGCACTTCGTTTTCATCCAGGTTAATTTTCATCCATTTGTTTTCATGAGACGTACATAATCCAAGTAAGAATCTGGAACCGTAAATAGTATTTACATTGCACATCCATGCTGAGGTTCTAAAAAGCCATTTTCTTTAAAAGCATTATGTATATGACATACCCCTTGGATTGCCAAAAATAGAAATGCACGCGCATGCAATGGGAAGACTGAAGTAGAGTTGGGACTGATGATCCTGAGGCTTTTGGGGATGTGGCTGGTTTCACAGGATAACGATCACTCCTCCACTGCCAAACCAAGAAAGCCAACCTATGCAGTTATGAGAAGTAGCTGGGATAAGTTCAATCTGACATTTTTTTTAAAATGTAAAATTTGGTCCTGCTTGGTTTTCTGAAGGGGTAAGACACTGGCAGATAAATGGAATGGCACTTGAACTACCTGAGGGGTTATAATTTTAGATAAAAATCTATGGTGCATTGGTAGATTAAACATGGAGATTTTGGATGCCTTTGAAGGAGGGTATGTCTGTCTCAGTGACCTGTGACCACATTAAGGAGCAAAATGTATTTGATCATTGCCGAAAATGACTGAGATCTGTGCAAGGAGTAGGGTCGCTAAACCATTTCCAAACAAACCAGAAGTGGGTCAACTCACTGCAAGAGAATTATTAAGATTCTCTCCGATCTCTGAAGCTATAGAGAAATCATTGCCACTGCGGCTAGTTTTTCCCTAACACCAGAACGCTGACCAAGCTCGACTTTCTATGAGCCAGAGCCACCTGTCAGCGATGAGCATCAACTAACGAACCATCCAAGCAAAGAGAGCGAGTAGGTCTCTCCACTGCCTGGCAGTGAACAAGGGCTAGGAGGTTGTTTTGGCCCAACACCTTTTATTTCTGATCTGAAGAACTTAGGAACTACAAAATTATCACCACTATGTCCTCACTTATAAACTTTTTTCTCCTAGGATTGCCTCAGTCAACACAATTCCATTTTGGACTGTGTCATTTAAGTGAAAAGGTAAGTGCTGCACTTTTTTCAACTCTAGTCATGGAACTTTGTATGTTTTTCTAACTGTGAATGATAGCAGCGTTCCTGTTATCTGAAGTACTGATGTGTTTTGTGAAAAAGCTGCTATTTTACATTCTGTTCAGCTTGATATAAACACCATCAATCTCAGCAAAATTTTCTTCTAACATAGGAAAGAAATATTGATTTGTATCAGATAGCGTTATAGTAGTAAGGGCATTTAAATCAAGTAGTGGTCTCCAGAGGTTTCTTTTCCTCATTCTGCTTGTTTCCTTTTTATTGTTACTTTTTAAAAGTGTCTAATTCTGAAAAACAAAACAGCCATCTAAATATTCTAAAACTTTCAAACTAAAGGAAGAAAGCAAGTGAAGGGTTATCGTTTCAAACTGTGGGCTAATTCTTAAGTGATAGGTATATGCAACTGTTCGTAAGGTTTTGTCTATGCTTCCTGAAAGACAGATGTGCCAATTTTCCACAGCTGAAGATCAGGCTGCTTATTTTCCTCCTGAGAACAAGTACAGCACTTGAAACTCAGCCTTGCTCTGCTTTTACTTACCTAAATGGGGAGGTGGCTCCCAGTGAAGAATTGCCAGTCCTGAGACACAGAAGCTGGAGCTGCTGTGCCAAAGGTCGGCACTGCCCGGCCAGCCAGCCCTTCCTGAGGTTTATTAACAAAGAAGAGGCTAGAAAAGTTCCAAAACACCCTGGTCCTCCAAGCAGCCACTTAAAATATTTATTAGCAACATGAATGCTGCTGGTACTATTTTACTTAAGACTCGCTGAGCCTGGCATAGCCTCTCCTTCGCCTTTGAGGGACCTTTGAGGTTGTGAAGGGCATAGTGGCCAGCTATAAATTGAATAAGCTTGCTAAAGAGTCAACTTACTTACTTTTAACCTCTAGATTAACTTTTGCCTCTAGATTAACCATGGAGACTTCTTGTACACTTTCTAATTCCACAAGAGGTGTTTAGGGAAAAGGGCCACGTAACAAAAACCAGCATACATTAACGAGCTGAGTCAGAAGGGAAGAAACAGCTTTTACAGCAACGGAGCGGTAAAGCTGAGATTTTAATGGTAACAGAGAGCTTTCAAACTACTAATACAGCAAAGCCAGAAATCTAGTTTGGAGAGGAAAGAGACGAATGAAGTACTAAAATTGTATTTATTAATTTTTTTAAAAAAACAAAACCCGAATTGACCAGTGCAGGCTCACACAACAGACCTGAAGATCTAGCTATAAAGCTGGGCACAAATTAAACCTGTCTCCAGAGGCAGTGTTAAAGACTGCAAATTAAGTTTTTGAACACAGCAACCGAAGTAATTGCTGATATCTGTTTACTGAAACAGCAAATTCTGTAAACTGTGATTTAGGAGCACTCCTGGCTTAAACGAACAGGGTTCATCGTATCACAGGCTGCCACAAGGTCCGGACAAAAAGCAGTCAGCAGGTTTTTCAGAAGCTGGTTGTCAGCTGCAAAGTTAAAACTCTCTGCACAGCTTTCTTGGGGATGGATTATTTCAAGCTCATGGAACAAACTCCCACAGGAAGCAATAGACACCTTAAATGTAATTTTCTTTTCCAAATGCATTTTGAACTTGTTTTTACTAACAAATAAGAGTATATATAGGCAATGAGAATAACAAACCGCATTTGACATAGCGAGTCCTTGCTGACTGAAGTATGAGAGAGTGCTCACATACAACAACTGTAATTAACACCACAATAAATACATTTATTGACTTGACAAAGTTAGAAGTTTATAGTAGTAGTGTGGAGTAGCTTACAACACTCAGCTGAGATAATTAAAAAACATTAGTACTTTTTGATGACATGGTCTAGATTATGCATATTTTTATTGCGATACTTTTAAGAAATATATCAATCAACTGCATTTCCTGTATAGATGTTCTGAAAAAAACCCTAGCTGGGGAAAAAGTACTGCCTTTACAGCAAAATTAACATTCAACACGGAAAAACAGTGCAAAAAACACTGCTGAAAAATTTACAGTAAGCCAGTCATTCTTACTATCTCACAGTTTGTTAATAAACCCACAATAAGTGTTTTCTTTCCACTTTTTGAGTATGTTAGGCCTAATTTTTAAGACATATTATTGCTTCACCAGTAGCAGTGCTGTTTCCAGAGAGGACATTTCTAGAGGCAGACACCTACATCTATAAAGAAATTTTGTTACCTTCTCTCAATTCCTGTATGCACTCTTCAGAGCTATCACTACTGGCAAAACTTAATTATATCATGAGATTATATCATGAGATTCTTTGAACTACTGAACCACCTCTACCTAATGCAATTGTTAAAAACTGTATTTTAAATATGTGCTTGTAAAACTGTTAAGAGCTGTTCTGTGAGCATGACTTGGTTTCTTCCCAAACGTAACAGTCAAAGCAGTTACAATAAAAAGTGCAGAAGAAAATCATTAAAGATTTCACAGTTCTACAGTTTGAAACTGACTGTGTAGGCAAGCAATTTTCTCTTAACCTTAAGAGAAAAGGTAAATTACTGTATCAGAAACTTGTACCGAAGCTATCTTCAAGTACATCTTTGGACCATCAAGCAAAGACTCCACAAATCAAAGTACAAGTATAATGACTTTAGTAAAATAAAAGAGTAAGAACTAGAAGTAGTAGTTCTCTTACACTAAGGCTGGTTTGTCTGTGGTCCTAAAAGGCAGTTTTGTCCTTTTAAATTTTGTTAAATATAGTCTGGCTTTCAAGAAGAACACATCTCCTAAAGACAGACTTGACCTTTTCTTCAAGCTATTGCTTTGTTTACTGTAACAGAAACTATATATAAGAACTTAAAAGTGCTATGCTTTTCAGTCAGCTGTGTCCTGTATCATAGCTAATAGTGCACTTAGAATGTAATAATGTGAAACTGACCCCCACCAAAAATATAGCATGTTTTAAGGTTTATTTCTGAAATACACCGTATTAATTACAGATTTTTTTTAAAGTTATCATATTAATGAAATGGGTTTAAGTTTTCATATAATGACAAAATCACAGATATGAAGATATCTGAATGTTGTAACAATTCTTTGTTCTCACGTTGCCATCAGGTAATGGTGTTTCAGTCTTATTTCTGGCCAAGTTGGGACAGCTAAACACGAAGAGACAGAAAACCATTAGGTTGCTACTCTTACTCTTTCAGTCAAACTAATATCCAATTCATACAGTAAATATTTCTGTCCGATAAGCTTTGGTTGTCTCTTACAACCAGAAGTATGCTGGTAACAGAATATTTAATGCATACCCTCACAGGAGAGGATCTCAGCTTCAAATTTTAAGATTTATTCAAATCTCAGAGGTAAAGGTGCAGCACACAGAGTCAACAAAAAAGTTACTTAAGCTGACTGAAGAGTTATAAGCTGGTAAGTACCACTTGTCTCCTTCAAGTGCAACAAGAATTAATTTAGTTCTTTAAAATGTAGTTTTAAATAACAATTTATTCTCATCTCAGTAGGAAATAAAACCATAGGTTTTACTATGAAGGGCTACTATTTGCTGACCACTGTGAATAATTTTTAGTTTGCATTTGTATTGGAATGAGGCATAGAGAAGTAATGGTGATGATAATGTTTTTAAAGCACTAAAAGGTTGATATTAATATAGGTATGGACAACATCAAGCTCCCGCTAGGCCAGTATTTATAAATAGTAAAATTTAGGACAAAAGTTTAAAGATCACAGTTGAATAGTAGTTTTTAATGTGTAAAAGTTGTCAGAATAGCCTAGAAAGACATGCTATTTGTGACAATATGAAAAACTGATTAATTTTTTTCATTAGGATTTATGTTAAGGCAGTTGGTATGAACTTGTTCACCTGCATTACCTGTGAACTCACACTGACAATACAGGCCTTCAAAACTCGATCAAAAATGACAACTCCAAACCTTCATTTCAATCAAGTGAAAATAGATAGCAAGAACATGTATTAATCTTTCACAGATTAGTTTTGTGGTTTTTTTTAAACCCACTGAGAGGTGTAAAGGTATATAAATCAACATACAGTTACAGGTGTAATAAATATTACAGGGGTTATCAAAGATACGTACCTGTTTTATAAACTGTGTAGCATTAAAAAGTTCACTGCAGCCATACAGGACATGTTTGCCTTGTTTACCCTAAAAAAAGAAAAGACAGGAAGAAAGCAAGTGTTTAACAGAGTAGCAGAAGTGGCTTAAACTAATTGTATTTAAAAAAAAAAAAAAAAAAGTCCTACACTTTTGGCTGGAAAAAAGAACAGTTGTTCCACCAGAGGAAAAAACCTGTAATTAACTTAAAGTGGAAAATGAGAGACCAGAGGCAGAAGAAAGTGGAAAAAATGGGGCATTTTACACCTTTAAACTCACTAGAACGTTAAGCTCACTGACTTACCTTCCCCAAAGCCATTCCTAGATAACAACCTTACCTGAACAAACCCTACCCCCTAAAATGACTGCTCTAAGAATAACAACATATTTACTGTTTCTGTTGTGTTAGAGCCTAAAAACTTCAATCTGTAATTAATTTCTATATGATGATGATGTTAAAACCAGTATTTTTTTTGTAAAGGGATTCTGAAACAAAATGTTGATTTCAGTCGGATGCATAAAAAGCCTATTTTGCAGTGACCAGTTTAACAGCATTCGTTTGACAGTAAGGCTGTCAAAGTGCTGTGTTAGCATTTTGGAAGCGAAAATTAGTTTATTTCCAGTGCTGGGCTAATAATCCCATGGTTCCTCAAAGTTCAAGCATAGGTTTGAGAAAGCTGTTTCACTGATAAATTATTTTGCATCTTCCCGTATTAGTTAGGTAAAACTTACTTATTAAAGAGCAAAATAGGAACATAAGCCTTGACAAAACGATTTTGTTTCATATATATTACCAATTGTGCTGTATCAGCAGAAAGTAACAGAAGCAGATTCTAACACTCCTTAGCTGGTGGTCACAGGCTAATTGGGGAGATGGTAATCCTGGTCCGAGTCCTCATCTTTATTAATTTTCAGTGGTTTCTGGTTGTAAGCTATTCTCATCGCTGAGCAGGGTCTTCAGCTTGCATCTTCCCACATTTCAGGTCAGTTATTTTAAACTTGATGCCTGATCGGGTCTGGTTTTGATCTAAACTGGTGTTTTGACAGATTCCACTTTCAGTAGTATGACCAAATAGCATTTCTTTCTGCCTAGTACCAAAAAAAAATTTAAACCATACACATCATTGTGAAATGTTTGCTGCTTTTCAGACAGCTCTGACATACACTGATATACACTTCCAGTCTGTCATATGTATTCTTCTAAAAGTGTAATTTTAAATAAAAACATACACATTCTAAAAGTTAATTACTCAGTCCATCCAAACAAAGAGATATATCTCCAAGTAATTATTGGAGCCAAGTCAAAACTGCTTAACATCTAAAAAAAAACCCAAACCCAAAACCACCTCAATACTGACTAAAAAATATGCTGGATTTAAATTTCATGCAATTAAATTATAATATCTATCAGGTAGATTGGAACAGATTATCAAGCAGTACCTTTCGAAGCATCTACTAAAGGAAATTAAAGGACATGCTTAATTCTTTGTACAAAACAGTATGCTAGTCTCCTCTTTCAGGCTTCCTATGGCTTGCAAGTTTGATAACACATTTTCAGCATGTTGAACTGAACTTGGCCAATATATCTATTTTAAGGCACAATCTGCCTTACTGACATGATAAATATTTGCTTTTTGACAATGTGAGATAGTCCATTCTAGCACAGAACTGCAAATAATTGAATCTGAGGGTTCCTCTTAGTTGTCCTACCACAACCCCCAGAATATCAAAGCTGAAGGAACATTGCTTCCTGTTTTAGAAAGTTTTAAAATACTTTGTCCTTTCATGAATAAGCCCTGAATAAAATCTTTATGGTATCTGCTTGCAAGAACAGAGCTGTTGATTTTTTTTCTCTTTTTTATTCTGGAGGGAGACTGACTGAATATTAGAATAATTAATAAGCTACATCTGGTGAAACAACAGATGCTGGAAGTGTACAACACAGAAAAGCAAATTTTATAGACTAAGCCTGTAAGAGTCACCTGGGAGATGTAGACAAGTCTCTGGGGGCTGGGAGGTAGAATTAAGGTTTTCATTAACATTTCTCGTTTTTTTCAAAGAGCAAATGGCCAAGTGGAATAAAGGTGAGGGAGTCTTCCCCCTTGGGAGGTCATCTCCCACTGACTGGAGAAACATACAGCACCCTTCAGCTGTGACAACTGATGATGAAGAAACCTCTGTCCATGGGTTCCAGAAGAAGAAAAACTATGTCCAACTTCTGACTCTTCGTAAGATCTAACAAACATTCCCATTCCTGTAGTTTTCAGTTCCTTCTGCCCTCTCCAACTGTTTACAAAATGGCCTCCTGTTTGCCCTCTTACTCCTCAGAAATTTCAGCTTCCTGCCACTTTGTATGAAGTGCTGAGTATTTAACTTATCATACAAATGCTCTATATATACACATATACACACGTGCTCACACAGCGAACCTCAGCCCTGTCAGTATGCAGCTACATATGAGAGAAGTGTATTAACCTCTAGGAGATTCAGAGTTTTATTTTAGTAGGAAGTAACAAATATACATCACAAATACAGATGTTGCTGGGCATCGTTGGAATTAATATGGCACCTGAAGTGGCTTTGGGTAAACTAAGGAAGCCAAAAGTTTGACAGTGCACTCTGCTACAGGCAGATGCTGCACTGAATACTATAATTAGTTATCAAGAATATTCTAAATGCTAAGATGAACCTAAATAATCTCTTTAACTTACATTCCTCTTTCTCTCCTTCCCTCTATCCAGACCAGCACTGTTCCAAAATGGCTGCCTGTTAGAGGAGGAGGAAAACAACGCAGCACAAACATTCTGACTATACATTCTTCAAGATTTACCTGAACATAAAACTCTCAAGTGCTTATTTTGGGGAAGAAATGTTTTTCAGTGATTAATGCTCCACATTTATTCCTTTTTGTGGGAAAGGCCTCAATCAAGTCCACCATGGGATAGGATGATTGTACCAAGGTAAGATCTGTTAGGAAGAATGGTATAGTGCTGCTCTTAAATAATTTATTACCTACTTCGAAATTTTACCCAGGTTCCTTTTGTATTTTTTTTATTCGTGGAAAGTGCTTGAAGTCCACACCTGCCTCCCAAGAACTGCAATCATAGAATCATAGAATATCTCAAGTTGGAAGGGATCCATAAGGATCAAGTTGGACTTGATGCCCAGCTCCCTGCCCCTCACAGGACAACATTGTAGTTACTTTTCTCCATCCACTGATTTTTGGTATACATGGGTTCTGCCAGACTGGCCAGCTGGAACCGCAGAAGTTCATCTGTTACACCAGCATTACATAGTTGGTTATGTATTTAATTCTTTGTGTGTATGACACCTCTTACGATTTCTATACAGAATCAAGTGATCCAGCATACCAAGAATGATCTTCTATTAACTCATTAGCAAAAACTTCTAAATGTGGGTAAATAATAAATGCTCAGATATTGATGCCAACCTGATCTTTGCGTTGACGGACAGCATAGCATTTGCATTATGTTGGCTTTTGAAACAACATTATGCTACAGTAAGACTGTTGTAAAATAAGATACTGTTATCTGTAGAGGCCTGGTTTTGAACAGACCTCAAATTGCAAAGTTGCATATGAAAAAGCGCTGTACTATCTCTTTTGCAGGATTTATGAAAGCTAGAGAATTCTGAGCCGTTCCTTACTTTCAAGCCTATGACACACTACAGATGCTTTAATTAACAGCAAATGAAAACTAGTAACAGGACTCTCAAACAGTATGAACAGCCAAACTGACAGCATTTAATGGATCAGTACAGAAGACAGGTTAATTTAGTTAGTTCCATCTGCTGACAGTTTTCAATCACTTGGGTGTGTAAATTATGAAAGACAAAATAAAGCAGAATGCAGTTTATTTACTCAATTCAAAAGTGCAACATGAGCAAAAAGACCAGAAACACCAACTCCTTTGTTGGTCTGAATTAATTACGCACTTTTTTTCCCCAGACTGAATATAATAAGGACGTTAAGGCTAATTTCATAGACTTAATCTTCTAAATACTAAATGTTACAGAAAACCTGCTAAAACTGGTTTCTATCAGTAAGTTATAGACTACAATGAAGAGAAGTGCACATACCTTTATGTAGTCGATAAGATTTTGATATTCAATATAGTTGCCGCCTCCAACTACAAACACGATTGCCTAAAAGGCGACACACACATAATCAGAATATGCATTCAAATTCTTACATTCCAGTAGTAACATATACACCAAATCATTAAAGCTACAGCAAAAATCATCCTAATCACACTTCAGTCTAATAAGAACTGGATGCAGAAGCACTAGTTTCCTACCTGAAACAAGATAACAGAAGAGTTTTAGTAGAATGCAGAATAGCAAGCAGAGAGCCTTTAACATGTCTCTATCTTCTACTCAGAAATATTTGAGACATACGCAGTTTCAACACTTTACTTTTGTGTGCGAGTGTACATAGGAACAGTTAAAATATTTCAATGGCTGCTTAAGGATTAATTCAGGACACAAATAAAATACTTCTGTTATAAAGGAATACACTTTTGCATTATTTTTCCACTTCCCACTTACTACTGATAATAATCTATAATATTACAGGTAAAGGCCATCAGTATTTCCTGGGCTATGTTTAAAAGAGAACAATTAATGAATAGAAAAAGGAGACTTAATAGTTGCTTCATTTTTATTAACATTCACTATCCAAAATTGTTTGCCTACACTATATGAATTTTATATAGACTTTATGTTACTACTGACATTTTTGTTAGGACCATCTGCTAGCCATATATATATATATGACACTCCCTGGTATTTCTTGTGTTCAGAGGGGTAATTAGGACATTTCAAGAGAAACTGGAGACATTAGTATATCGCCAAGGCAAAGGTTTTGCCTATGAAACTTGGTAGTAAGATCAGATAAGTAACACTTTTACTATTCACAAAAATATTTCTTGAAAAATACTGATAGTTACTGGCATCTCTATGAAATGACAACATTTGTGGTTTTGCTTTCTTTCCTTTAATTGCTCAGACTGTTGAAAATACTGTCATTTAAATCAGCGGTCAACACTGCTGTTTTAAGGCTGGACAAAGGATTAAATCTAGAGAGCATTCTAAAGATCAGGCATAAAAATTGCTATTAATAAATCCCTGTAATTACCTCCAGAAGAATTTTCTAGATTTTTTTCTCCAGTATTAGTTAATGTTTACATAGTCCTTTGAAGTTGAAAAGATTTCTTCGGAATAACAGCTAATTATAATTAATACTGATATGATTAGTCTCAGTGGTTTTTGCAAACAAGACCTCTCATTTTCTTAATCATGATCATCAAAAATGACTGGTACTTCAGGATTTTATTTTTTTTAACACATGAACACTGAAAAATAGTTTCTACGTGACTTACCTCCTGGAATGGATTTTTGTTTCTTGGAACTGAGCTATAAAAAAAAAAAAAACAAACACAAGCAAACTACAACTTAAATTTTATTAGATATTAATATAAAACATGCAAAATAAGTATCATGTCCACATCATGTTTATGGAATACTACATAATATAGTAATAGGACTAGGTGTTAGGAAAAGAAAGTAGCTTTTTAATATCCTTTATACTTTGTCAAGCCAGCTCACTGATGGTTTTTGATCATCATTTGAAGGGAGAATTAGACAAACCCCTGTATGGTTATCCTAGAGTTCCGTTGTCATGCTCAAATATGATTTAAGGAATATAACTGGAGTTTACGTAAAAAGCCCAAACAAACCCCAAACCAAAAATTAAAAGTTTTTCCCTATGATGATTATTATAGCTACACAGAATGGCACATTTATGAACTGCTGCAAATGTGTATCTTTACATTGTTTAAAGCAACATAAGAAATATAAGAAACATAAAATACTGGCAATTTTTTTCTTTAATGCTCTCAAAGTCTGCTTATCTTTGAAATTATATACTCTGTAATAATCCTTTCCAGTATAACATGTACATTATCTGAAATTTGTTTCCTATTACTACTTATGCTGTCAGAAATATACTTTCCATGCTTCAAGAATAAAGGAAGCAGGGACAGATTTTAAAGCAGATAACTCAAACCAAGTCTGGATGTACTTTATCCAATTTCATCCTGCAATGAACCCCCGCAATTACATGAGCTGATTGTTTTCCCACAGCTCAGATAAAAATTGTTTTTAGAAGGTATGTTAAAATTAAGTATCATCATCTCTGTTTCTAGGATATTAGAGGTGAGACTATCAGCCACAGTTATTAGTCAAAGATACAAAACAAAAGATATAAATTTATAAACTTCAACTGTAATTCCTCTTCCTCTCTTTTATTGTCAAAATATACTATATCCAACTCTCCCTTCACACGCACATTAATTTAAAACGTGCCCCTGCCTATACAATAGCAACTGCAGTCAATTTTTAATGTTTTTTTTGCAAAGCTATTAACAAATTACTAAAGAAGGGTTATACTGAAATTAACATTTTAACTGTTTAAAAAGTGATAAAGATATTTTGGTGCACTATCCGATAACTTTTTAATTTAACAGTGACTAACCACAAAGTTTCAAAGCAACCAAGCAGTACGACTGTAAAGAATTCTAACATTTATTACTGCTAAATATTAGCACACATTCCTGTGACTGAATGATGTCCATGTTAGCAGCATGTTCAGTCACTGCAACAAAAGACTGTTTTCTTGCAGTGTTATAAAAATTTATCTGGTTGATCCAAGTTCTCATTGTGAATTCCTTCAACACCAACTGTCCTGACTTAGAATTAATGGTTAAAATTAATTACTTGTAGTCAGCAAGTAAAATAAAACTGTATTTCTTAAAGTTAGCCTTTTCATAGGGTACAAGGAAGAAGTCAAAACTCATAGTAAACTCACCTGTCACTGCCTCGCAGCATCTTGGGGTCAAAATACCGGTAGTCATCTGTCTCCTATTAAAAAGTATGTTTTTTAAAATCAAAAGATAAGAATTTTGGCTTATGAATTTCTGCTTGTATCTATTACATTAAACATAATTCAAACCAACGTCATTTCCCATTTAGCAGTCCCATCATTCAAAATTAATTGTGCTGTCCACGAATATTTATAGTATTCGTACATAACCGAACCAGTACAGAATAAACAACAGTGAGAGAGCTATGAAGGGTGCTATTGAGCTCTTTGTTCCTGGTTCATCTAAAATTGACTATTACATACTTTCCAAAAAATACATTGGTTGCATAATAAATCCCAACAGAAAGGCAGTACACAGAAAGAAAAACTAAGGTGTTACCAGCTTAAGAGGAACATCATATGGTTAATTATAAATGCTAAAATTTTCCAGGTTACAGAGATCTGCTACTGATTTAATATTATAAAACAAAACATTTCTATGGCAATGAATGCTAAATACAAGACAGATCAAAATCTGCCACTGTTACATAACTTACCCATTTCATTTCATGATTTATGACTACTATTAAACCAAAATTAAGCTCCTGAAGAAGAAATGAGTTCCACAAGAATTTGAAAAGTCTGACTGTCTAAACTATACAAAAAAAATTTTTTCTTCACACAAAACACTGAGGCACTTCCAATATTTTTACTGGCAACCAGCAGGATTTTTGCCAATTATTATGGATGAAAAACAAAACTTCTTAGTAACTCCTTCTGACAACTACTTGGCTTTCTTCTGTTTCTATACTACGTTTTCATCCAGGTACTGTGAAGTTTAGTTTGTGCATGCAGGACTACAGCTGATTTCATCTGGGTGCTTACATGCCAGATCTGTGTTTTGATGATTCTGTAGAGCAGAAATGATTTTTCTTGAGTAGTAGACAGATTATCTGGGGAATTTATTAGAGCTCACAAAGCATAACTATCTCTAATGCTACAAAATATTTAGTATACAAGAGGTGGTTACACACACAGAAAAAAATCTATTTTATATTAAAGACTTCTATGTAATTACATAAAATAATTTTCTTATCCTCAAGTTTGGCTTTTTAAAAAAAATTAATTTAGATCTAATTTCACACTAAACCTCTGTAAAATGCTTTCATATGCTCCACCACGAATTTCAACTGCATTTGTGAAGTCTGCCAGCATTCATGATTTTGGCAGCCTCGTACATAAAGGCAGTGCAGTGACTTTGCAGTACTGACAGAGCTGAGGATGGATAGATATTGCTAGACTAAAACTGAGATGTATTTGAGAAACCTATAACTCAGATAAAGAGATTCAGCTTCCCTGCTTGTTAGAATGAATTACAGATTAATGCCAGAACTGAAATCAGAGTTAAAAAAACCAATATTACAAACATTTCCTCCTGAACATATTACTGCTGCGTTTTTTCACTGTGGGCTTGTGTAAGTAGACACACGAAAAGTGCTAAAGTAATAGAAATGTTATAAGCTAGTTTATTTTTTTTTATTGTTTAAATACACCATTCCTACAAAAATCAGTTCTGAGAGTACAGGGAAAGAAACCTTACTAGATTTTATTTGCTTTAAGAAATAGCTAGTCTGCCAATAAAAACAACTGTTTTTAAATGGTTTCCTTACACACAACTGAATTTGTGACTTCCTTAAACAATTCAAGGATAGAATTCATACTTTCAAAATGATAAACTTAACTTTCAAGTTTTCAATTAAAATGGAAAAGTCTGTATTTGTTTTTCTGCAGAAGTGAACATGACCAGTTTGGACTAAGGAAATTCCCCATTTTTAGAATTCTTTGTTGTAATGCATGAAAGGTAATCATACAGTATATCCCAAGCCAGAAAGACACAATATTCACTGAAAGGGATGATATTAAACAAAATACAGTTCCATTCATATATATCACAAACAATATCTACCTCTTCTGTCAATACACATGTACATGCTGTATTGACAGAAGCTAAACCCCTTTGGAACTTTGTCATGAAAATATTAAAGGTTTACTTATCAGAGATTGTCCTTACGCAAGAATCAAATAATCTTGTGGAAGATAGATACTTTAAAGAAGAACCTCCACAATTCTATAGCAAGTGGTGGTCAAGTTCGTATCTATGGGTTAAAATTTGTGTATACTTGACAATATGTGTTAGGAAGATTTAAGGTTTTAATCGATCTCTGTTTAGCGATACCAAAACAAAATTACTATGTTACTAGATTTATGAATAGAACATTTCTTTATGAAAGCATAATCCCAGAAGCAATTGCTTAAAAACCTGCTTCGACCAATAAATGTTACTATTTAAAAAAACCCCAAGTAACAGATTAAGATCATTGATGAACGTTTCCGAATAAATATTTCAAGCAAAAGTGTAACTATAGTTCAACAATCTAGACAAATTTTTAAAATTACAGGATAGTATTACTGGCCATAAGAACTGTTTCTATCTGTTCCTGCTTCTGAAAAACTTGGAACAGTTTTTAGAAGTTGGAATGTAATTCCAAACATGCCATATCAACTTGGCACAGGTGTAGACTCATTTGTCCTTCCTGGTAGCTGTCCTTGTGAGACAAAAGAAGCAGCAAGGGACAAGTAGCATACAAAGATTTACAGAGAACCTGTCCTGGTTTTAGCCAGGATAGAGTTAATTTTCTCCATCGAAGCTGGAGAGTGAGGCTGTGTTTTGGATTTGGGATGAGAAAATGTTGATAACGTGCTCATGTTCTGAGTTCTTGCTGAGCAGTCAAGGACAGTCCAGCTTCTGGTGCTGGCCTGCCAGCGAGCAGGCTGGGGGTGCCCGGGGAGCTGGGAGGGGACACAGCCAGGACAGCTGACCCAGGCTGGCCAAAGGGGTATTCCATACCATACGATATCATGCTCAGCATATATAGCCGGGACGAAGAAGGAAGGAAGGGGTGGAGGGAACGTTCGAAGTGACGGTGTCTGTCTTGCCAAGAAACCGTTACGTGTGATGGAGCCCTGCTTCCCTGGAGATGGCTGAGGACCTGCCTGCCCATGGGGAGCGGTGAAAGAATTCCCTGTTTTGCTTTGCTTGTGTGCGCGGCTTTTGCTTTCCCTATTAAACTGTCTTTATCTCAACTCATGAATCTCCTCACTTTTACTCTTCCAATTCTCTCCCCCGTCCCACCGTGGAGGAGTGAGTGAGCAGCTGCGTGGGGCTCAGCTGCCGGCTGGGGCTAAACCACGACACAACCCTACAGAGTTTTACACAGCATATCATTCTGAATAGGTTTAAAATTTCAACTGACAATAATATTTGCAAATGTTGGTGGTACAAGTTATACATTTTATATACTTACTTTATGTTGCATTTTATACTTAGAAAATAATTATTTACATTCATTGTAGTAACTGACTTCTCAATAATCAGTTCAGAACTAATTTTGCATTACAACTTCTATCTGTATGTATGTTTCATGCACTGATCACTGTGGTTATAATAAAGGAGATTTTTTTCCTGTGGTTGTAAAAAAAATACAATTTTAAGCTTTTTTTCCCCTCCCTTTGCATTTTCCCTGCAGTGCCATAGTCTTCTATTCTAGGGAATAAAAAAGGACCTCAAACATCATAAGTTGAGCAGAGGCCACAGTGGTGTATTTCTACATATTGTCCTTTTCCAGATACAATTTCACTTCTGTCGATGGTACAGCAAGTCTAAACATACTCCACAATGACTCTCTGGCTTGCTCCTGTTAGCTGAAACTGCCTCAAAGAGCTGCTGTCAATTTTCCTACAGGTTAGGAGGATCATTCTTCAGGGCTTGCCTGGTCTCCCTATGACTTGAAAAGTAGGACTCCCTGTTTTGGGCCACAAATTCCAGTCTCCGACATGTCAGTGAAACACGAAGCCACTGTCTGACAGACTATCTCAATCTCTGCTTTTTCAAGTGAGAAGATTAATATGTTCTCCAAATTATCAAAGTGATTGTGGCTGGTTTTGGCCAAGTGAAATGTGACAATATCAAGTCAGCGAAAAGCCCCATAATGGCTTGTAAACTTCTCCAAATCAATTCCTAAACTTGTAGCCTTAGGACTCTAGTGTTTGTTTATTTAAAAAAAAAAAGTTTCATTTTTCACTTACAAGTAAGTTATCTGTAGTTTTTAATTTCAGCTTTCTGTATTAAGTGTTCTGAGTGACCTCTACTGGTTGACTAGATAAAATTAGCTGTGTACATCTTCAAGTCTTGCAAACAAGGACAACAACCCACTGCCACTGAAAGCAGTGTCAATTTCTTTGTTCATTAAGAGAAAGCAAATTTTCTGCTAACAATCATGACATATATTATCTATGACGTACAGTGTAGGAAAAGGCAGGATTGCTCACAAGTCAGATCATTTTCGTATTTTACCATTATTTCTCTCCCTTTACATTTAGTTAATGCCTGAGGGTGAAAGTGGACTAAGAATGTTTTAAATCTACTAACCAGTGTGAGCTATTACAACTCTATCTCTCTGATGCTGATGTCATTAAAACAGGAAGACTGATACGATGTGGCAAACATATTAGAGCTTCCTAAATGACTTTTAACGGGTGATTTTTTCAAAACAAGTTTGTGCACAGGCTGGTCATATATAAGCGTTCTGAAGAACAAAATACATAGCAAGAAAAAAAGACTGCTTTGACTATAAACTACATATAAAAAGACTTAGGGCTATCTTTAGGTGTAAATTCTAGCAAATGTCTTGATTATCTAGCTACCATTTAAGCATTTCAAAAGTTTGTAACTTCTGTAAGTCTAAGTAAATTTTCACAGAAACAAGGGGAAAAGAGGATTTTTCTGACACAAAACCAACTTTGCATGCAAATTGAGAGACTGCATGAGTACTAAAATATTTTCCTCTAAATAGCAAAGCTTTAAAGATATGGGAAACAAAATTTTCTCTAACCTACCTCTCTGGAACTACTTTACTTCTGAAATTGCACTCAAAAAACCCCAAAACACCTTGATGCAAAGAAAATTTCAGCCCACAGTTCAAGTTTTAGAAATTTAGGAGGAAAAAACCTCTCAAAAACACTAGTTCCAGTGAGACCAAATAAATTGTCATTGCTTAGAAACTATTTCTACGCAAAAAAAAATGATAAAATAGTTATGAAAGTGGTTCTATTCTTGGGATACAGGATGATTAGATTTAACTGTATTATCATGAAAAAAAAATAGCCATGGCATATTACATATCACAGCCTCAAGATTTCATTTGTTCCACCTCTTTCCATGTGAAGGCAGTTATACTCACAGGGTTTGACTTCATCTCCATAAGGTTGTCCAATATACGTGTGACTGGTAGATTCTGTAAAACATAATGTGAAATTAATGAAATGTTGAAATGCTTACTAAGAATTATTCACAGGCACACTACTATTTAGGTAATAGTTTACAGAGCATTTTAAATACTACTTTAAACGGTTTTCCTCTTATATTTTGTAAAGATTGACCATTTTTATCATCACCTAAATTACCTTCCTGTAAAGAAAATGCAAACCTCTGAGGGGCATCTAGCTAGCAGATGAACAGAAAGTGCAAAAAAAGTGTGAAGATAGGAACAGAGTTGTATTTAGGTATTTCCAGTATATACAGACAGGTGATGATGTATGAATTCTAATTAAAAAATTTCTTCACAGTTTAAGGAAAGAATTTTAAAGCTGCAGATGAGAATTAAGGGTGTGACCCTAAAAAAGAACTAATGTTGTCAAAGATATGGGTAAGAAAACCAATCCTGGCAACAAGCGTTGGATGAACTGGAAAGGAATAAATGAGATGAGATTCAAGATGACTTTTCCTTATTTAAGATGGGAAATGTTAGCTTGGACAAAAGATATGAAGTATTAAACAGTCAATCCACTTTAGTTAGAATAAACTGAGGGAGAGTTTGTATAGCAACAGAATTGGAAATATGTTTTGTTGGCAGAATATATCAAAAAAGGACATTCCAAAGGATGACCTACAAATAACACTGAAAAACGCTTAGTAAAAAAACAATGTAAATCCCCAAATGACCAAATGAGAAATAAAAATTTAACTTCACTAGAAATACCACAGCTCAAAAATATGAGGAAGAACAGCATTTTATTTGGCTACCCCAAAACATCTGAAGAGGAATTAAAAGACAGAAAAAAATATCCTGGAAACATTGGCATTGTGGTTTCTTACACACTCAGAACCTAAAACAAAGCAAGCCATTTTATCATGAATACTACTAACTTTTTTAAGCCACACATGTTAAAAGAAATGACAAATGTTTAATACAAGATGACTAGGAAGTCTCATTTAGAGTATAATTATTATCTACTGTTACAAGTAACAGTTTATCTGAAGATCTCTCTTTAAAATATAACATACAGGCAAGATGCATATTTAAACCAGTTTCCTCAACTATATTTCATGACATACCACTGATTTGTAACTGTGCAATGTAACTCATCATGTCTGGTCATAGTCAAATTCCCACAGAATTAATTTCATTGACTATGCTAACAAGAGCCCCAGAAACAAGTTTTATATGATAGCTGATACTTTTCATGCATAAATTATGTGTGTAACAGGCTGACTAAACAAACAACAGCTCTGATAAGATTAACTATATCAAAGATACACATTTAATTAGATGTGAGATTTCATTTTATTTAGTTCTGATAAGCTGCATTTCTAAATTAAATTCTGATATTTCCATTAAGAATTGCAGTATGATGAATGATACTTTTCTTAGAAAGCTTGATTTAAAAATATTACAGAATTAAAATTTTTAACTGTAAATATTTACTGCCATCTGACAAAAGTTCATATTGGAGAATATAATGTGTCCTCCACAGGTAAGCATGTTTCTGGGAACCACAATTCAAAATTTCAGCTATGATAAATTATACAACCAGTGTCTTTGTTGTTGTTGTTTGTCTTCTTTTGGGGGGTGTAGACTGAAACTTGCATGTAAGTTATGCTCAGAAATATTTTCTAAAGTTAAGTGAATATTCGATTGTGGCCATGTCATTATAAACACACTTTGATTTTCAAGCACATTTTAAGATTATGGTTGCTGTACATTATTTATGTGGGAAAACTAGAAACGCTTGAATTGTAACTGAACAGAGAATGAACACTTTTGGCCTTTCAGTCACTCTGGAATAGATGCATTCCATGCAGCAATACATGCTGTTCTAAGTAAAGACACAAAGGGGTTTTATTTGTTTATTAAGGTCTAGTCTATTTTCAGTATTCCACAGCTGTTCTTTTTATAATGCTGAGATCGGTCTTAATTGCACATATTTAAATCTAAGTCCTTACAAATGGAGATAATCAAAGAAAATTTGAATATTATTTGTTACTTGTCTAAAAACTGGAAGCTACAAAGTGATAGATGTATCCACCAGCAGAGGATGATTTTTTTTTTTACAGTACAACATATTTTATTAATATGACAGAGGTACTGAAAGTTGTTTTTCTAAATGTTCATAATGCTCATGTAATAGAATTTTTTTATATTTGTTTTTAAACTTACTTGTTGCTTCAGTACCAAGTTCTTCACTCCTTCCATTACGAACTGTGATCCTGTATTCATAACACGTGAAAACAGACTGAAAAACAAAACAAAGATGATGTGTAAGAGCTTCTTTTTTTAATTTGCATTCTTAAGCTTTAAACTGACATCCAATTCCCATTAAAGTTGATGGGACTTAAGTACCAAGTAATTTAATTTGTGATGAAATACATTCTTCAAACCACACCGTAACCAAGTGTATGGGAATACACCTATAATCTAGCAATTAAATCCTCACCTATCAATAGGAGTCTTGAGTTCTATAATCCATTGAACAATTTATTTTACAACTTCAGTAGTGCAAGGATTTGAGTGCTCCTTTCAAGTGGGTGTCCTAACCACCATAGTTAACAGAGATGCTCGGTGTCTCCAACCAACCAACCAACCAACCAACCAACCAACCAACCAGTAATATTTCCAAGTGAGACAGCACCGGAATTCTCTCTAACCATACTGCGCCACAGTTTCCTTATGACAGTGACAGTGCATTCCTGAAAGTAAAGTTGGTAATGAGGATTCAAATCCTCTCAAGCATGGAAAGACTCATGTCCCACACCCTGTATGGGATATATGTACCCTTTATATGGTATTCTATATATACTCCAGTGACAGCACAGTCATCACCTTTCCTTTGCATGTCTTGAAATAACTAACCACACCTTACAACAAGCAGCCAGACATCCAGTCCAGGACATCCTAATGAAGAAGCAGTGTGTTCTTGCATCCCTGACAGTCTCAAAGCCCTGGAGAGAACCAATTTTGAATACACATGGGCTGTTCTTATCTTCTGCCATTGACTAAATAGGGCTCAAAATGACAGGTGTCACAAATCCATTTCCTGGTGCCAAATTCCTCTCCTATGAGAGCCTCTAAATTTAATGTGCAGGTGTAGATATCACTATATTAAGTTACTTCGTGGATTTAGTCACAGATCCTTTTATTTTCTTGTGTGTAAGTCCTATGCGCTATTAAGGGGAGATGAGTGCTTGTAATTGTCTGTAACTTAAAACTTTTTACAAATAAGGAAATGTTCTATTCTGGGCCTTGTACAGCACTAATCACACTTTTCAGTACTATAAAATATTCAGTATTATAAAATAAGCTAAAAGAACCCAAAGGCTTACAGAAAATTAATCAAAAGCATACCCCAAAGGTTTAGGTGTAGTGTTTCCATAGCTGGTTGGAGCTGAAGCCATCTTAGTGAAAGCCCTGTAAAAGCAGGGATAGAAATCAAATTCTTATCTCATGGCACATATTGCTATAGAATGTTCCACTCTGGTCATGTGAAAGTGAAAAAAATTCTGCTTCTCAAACTCTTTCAGGAAGTATCTCTTTATTACATGCATCCCTCTAGAAACACAATAGTTAAAGAACTGAAAGGCATTAGATTTTATAACTAAAAGGCAAAGACTTTATTTTTATACCATGTAAAACTAGAATAAATGATAGGCAGCATGGCCCTTTGGTATGAAACAAAAAAACTTGAGAGTCTGAACCAGCACAACTTTTCCTTTAATTCAGCAAATTGTTTCTGTCTTGGATCGTTAAGTGCACTATTATGTGTCACGTTCAATAGTGTTCTGGCATTACTGGAGTTTAGTTTTAAAATAAGATTTGCATGTAATACCATAACAAAGACACCAAAAAATTATGCCAGAATGAATGTTTAAGGATACTTTACAATGTATGAGAAGTGACACATGATGCTTTGATAACAATGCTGAGTTTTGCAAAATTACACAGTTATAACCTCATACAGGAGAAAAAAGAAATTACTTACTTCCATTGTTTTATGTAGCTCAAAGGAGCAAGATTACAACCTGCATCCATCAATGCTTTTTTATACTGTTCCAAATCAATCTGAAATTATGAAGTGGAGAATTGCAACAGGTTGTAACTACTCTTAACTCTCTTTATGTGGAAACACAAGCTATCCTTATCTAAATATTAAATAAGCAGTGTAAAGTTATAGCATTAACCAAAGTTAAAAAGTAATTATGAGTCTTAATCCCATCTCCTACCAAGTAGGAAAATATAACTTAAAATGCAACTTGCTATGAGCAGCTCTCACTAAACTTAACAGTATTTCTGGAATTAAATCCTGTGCACTTTCAGATATGGGAACAGTCTTTTATATCAGCATCTCTAAAAAACCTGTCAGAATGGTGGTTTCTGACAAAACATCACAACAGCAAATAATAAAAATGTAGAGGAGTTAATATACATTTACAAGAATACTTTCCCTTTGCCTAACCCAACATATTTTTCCTACTATATAGTATTTCTACAGTATAATAAAAATCTTCCTTGAAATTAATAATCATAAGTTCAAAAGAAATACTAAGAAATTGTTTCCTGAATTATTCAGATATTGGTACAAGAAGCATTTCTCCTTTATTCATCTGCTGGTCAACTGACCCAATTATTCTTGAACATATAAGGCCAGAGTGAGAAGTCATATTAACATTTTGTTTTATCTAGTTCTATTGAACAGGGGAGCAGAATAATAGAAAGCATGCCTAGATGTGTCTGGCAGTAACTTTGAACTAAGTATTTCAAAAGATAATCTTCCTTCTTATTAGTCACTCATATCCTTTAAAATGGTGGGTAAACCTTTGTGAGCAGATTCCCTGATAATACTACAAAACTTATTTGAAGTTTTAGTATGTCCTGGGCATTTCATACTTCGCTTCAAAGAGAAGCGGAAATACCTATTTAGTGCTGAAATGACACAGAAAAATTGTGTGTGGTACAATTTGATGTTGGAAACTGTAAAGAACATACATACCTCCGAAGGTGCCTGAGCTGAGCTTATGTAATAGATAAGAAATAATCGCATTTTGTCTTCTGGAGTTCCTGCTGCAGTGAAAAAAAAAATTAAAAACTACAATTGTAACTATGCTTCTATGTTAATTGCTCTTCAGTAATAATATGTATGAGCATTCAGATCTCCAGTTATGACAATAATTGTTATCTATAGCCATGTCCTGTATAAAATGGTAGAAAGACATTCAGCAATTTTATTAAAAGTTGGGTTAGACTGGCTCACTGTTTCTGAAAGTTTACTTACACTTTTTACTTATACCTTCCTCTTTTGCTTATAGCGAATATTATTCTTCAAATAACATAATAAATAAGTTATGTAGTGGCATTATGTCTTATTTTATGTGGGAATTGCAAGCATTAGCAGGGAGTAGACCCATGAAAGAGGAGATTAAAGAAAAATCATAAAAGTAAAAGCCACAGCACATTATTTTTTAGCTCTACAATTTGTTATGCAGCTCTGTGGTTGACTGTACTAAAACACTTGAGGCCTGCAGAAGCACTTATGTGAACTTTTGGTCAGGAAAAAATTCCTGAACTTCCAACTTGCCTTCACCTCCTGAATCATCTTTTGTCACACCAGTTGTTGGAAAAAAAAAACCACTGCTACAAATTCAGGGGAAGTATTACCAATGGCAATCAAAATTCACCTCTGCCAGATCAAAACGATGATGCAGCCACCCCTGTGTTACTTAGATTATAATCTACTACAGCAAATTTTGAACACTACTGACTTTTTTCTAGACAATAATTACAATCATCATTTCAAATGAAGATTCAGAAGTATAACTTCTCAAACATTTCAAATTTGTAATCCAATACTTCATTAAAAACGCTTAATACCTTTAGATATACTACAACATTTTGTTAAAATGCACTTTCTTGTACTTCTGGGAAAGAAAAAAAAGATAATTTTTCCAGTTTTTTTGTTTTGGGTTTTTTCCCCCCACTATGGAATGTGGATCATGTCAGCAGGGGATCATCTAATCTAATCTGCAACTTCTGTTTACAATGTGAGCATATATTTAGTTTGGCAGAAGTTAAGAGTAAGCGCTGTCATAATGAACATGGTACAATTTCTTCTGGGAAATAAGTTTTATTAGCCTTTACCAGTAAGCCAGACGATCAAGAACTGAAGCAACTTTGTACTAGCTAAACCAAAAGTCAGCTTTCAAGGTAGACATCCACTTGATGTGGATGTGGGTAAAAAACACACTTAAACATTCTAAATATACAGTGTAACTGACTTTGGTATCTGTAACTGAGTTGGAAACTTAGTTTCCAGCTTGCCAGTTTATACCTTGTTTATACTCTGCTGGTCACTAAGTTTCAGTTTCACCCGGAATCCGCTGGCTTGGCCTATTCACCGTGTCTACAGAAGTCCTTGAAGGTTTGTGCTCACAGGAGCATTAAGTGGTCTCACACATGAGTGTAAGTAATATTTTGTCTTACTAAAAAAATAATACTTAAAAAAAAAAAAAAATCTGTGTTTGTATTGTGTACACTTTACTAAATCTTAGGAAAACCACTTTGGCAAAAGTACTTTACTCTTGACATACTACTAATGTAAATCATGGTTGCGATAAACAGCTGTAAGACCTAGGTCAGTTGCCTGCAAAACGTTCACTATTTTTTCTAGGCTATGGTCTGCAACAGCATGGAGAGGGGGAATGCTAAATGTTCTGAAGAAAACTTAACTTGGTAAACCTAGAAAAGAACAATTTTATTTTCCACTCAAAAAACAGCAGGCAGCTTTTAGGGCTACTGATTAATTACTGGAGCAAAGCAAAACCAGTAACTAGTCACTACTCCGGGATATAATAACATCCACTGATCTGGGAGGTAGTTAATAGCCCTGAGTGGTAGATTAGTACAACATTGGAAGAAATGGGATCTGAAAGCCTGAAGCTTCAAGTGGTTACGTCTAAGCGCTTTTGTGAAGAGTTCTGCAGGTATCACTGTCCACAAGACAAGTATCCCCACAGATAATGCAAACAAGTAGTTAAACACTGGAAGACTTGATGCATTATTCCTTCAAAATGGTTTCTGCTGGTATTTCTCAGTGAATCACACAATAGGAAGCTGGCCAGTTTTATATGATAGCATGCCTGGAAATAATTGCTGTGATTTAACTTAAATTCTTTTGTTATATCAACTTCTCTTAAACCTAGGCAACACATATGAAATACTAACTTGCTACTGTGAACACCTGAATACTTAGCTTATGAAGGAAAACTCCAGTTTGGAAATCTAATCTTTCTTTTGTGTAAAAACTAGGAGCTTTTTGCTAACAGCAATGTCGATATGATACATCAGGGTTGAAAAACAATTTGCTTTATACTGCAATCTAAAAACACATAGAAAATGTGGATTCAGGTAAAAAGTAAATGATCCAGTAGGAAATACTAGCAAGCACAGTAACTTCTGTTTTCATATCTAAGTTCACACAAACATAAAAGCTGAATTCAAAGTAGTACATGAACATGTTAATTCTGAACACGGAAAAGGACTAGTTGGTACTGATGCCTGTACAGATTGTACATATTCTTATTAGTGTCACATTAACAACGAATGTCTGTACTGAATTACAGATTGACGCCTGACATTAGATTTTCTGAAAGTCTGTTAGTTTCTAGACTTGACCCAATATGAGATCTGTAAAATCTTAGCTCAGACTTCTACCAGCCGTGAATCAAAAGGCTTCTACTACTTTTTGATTCTATAGCACAGACACTAGTAAAAGGTTTTTTAAAAAGTCAGCAGGATTCATATATACTCTTTCTATAAATACGAATCATTATACAAACTCCAAGCAGACATTATGTCCAGTACGTAGCTACAAGACTACACACATAAGCATGCAGTAACAAAACATTTTCTTAAAGAGCATACTGGGAAAAGAGCAGGAACCCTGGGTCTCTAAATGCTTGATGTTTGCCAACAGACTTGCCAAAATGCAGACAGGCCAGTGGTCATAACTTAGGTTTTGCCGTCTTGCTCTGCAGGTTATTTTGTTCTAGCCAACTGGTATCAGATCATATTGAAATCCGTCAGAGGGTTGTGACATACCTCAAGTTGTGAGAGGTTTAAACAAGAGTTGATGCTGTGATACCATGGAAAGCTGAGAACCTAGTCTGGTCTCAGCCTTTAACAGAAAGACCCCTAGGGACTCCTGCTCGTAGAGAATCTGAGTATCACCCAGTGCGTAAAGCTTTGTTATGTATGAACCATCTATGAAACAGGAGCTGGGATGCCTTGTTCTTAAGATGATGAAAACAGACATGCCACAACTGGGCCAACCCATGCAAAACTTCAGGTGAGTCTCTCAGTGAAACGGCCAATCTGCGTCTTGCTTCCTGTCTCTCCACCTTCTCCCACCCATCTTTTTCCTCACACAAGCAAGAGGTACCTACATTACAACCCCTTGATCTAACCAAATTCAATGAAATGCCCCTTTTCATTCTGTTTGTGAGGTATGTATGCGTTATAAAACATGAAGAAGGATTTTAAAGAATCAGTATTGTTCAGACCACACAATTCCATATTATACTAATAAATGCTGGAGAAGCACAAAAGTAAAAATATTTTGACCTTCAGAAAAAAGGAGTTAGGAAAGGATTTTAGTGGAGCTGCAAAAGTTGTCTATGTTTTGGATATTACTCAATCAAAATACTAAACTCCAGACTGCTATACTAAAAATCAATAAAAAGCTGATTTTCTTTAGAAGTCTTGCACAATTTGCACATAAGCTCTTTACCAACCCTGAAGTCCCACTAGGTATAGATTATTTGTACATCTTAACAAATTTTATACTGAGCTCAGATTTAAAGTACTCACCATCTGGGTCAGAAATCATGTCCAGTAGAGATTTATCCAGAGTGGATTTGCTCATTATTTTTTCCTCATATTCAAAATACACATCCAGCTTTCGACTCTGTTTAAGAGTAAGTGTTAGGGTTAACATTTAACATTGTGAAAGAATATTTATTTCCTCTTTAAAAAGGTATATAGTTTTAGTTCCTCTTTAAAAAGGTACATAATTTTAGTTATCAATAGTGTTTTTAAAAAATTATTCTTAAACTACCAGTAAAAAACACTAATGCTTGCATTATAATACGCTTTTATTAAGTCTTAGAAATTTGACACTTTTGTAATTCTCATATTAAAAGTGAAAATGCAAGTTAAGCAAGGGATGTCTGGCATGCAAATATTAAACTGGAAAAGAAGCTTTGTTTTCAACTATGATTTTGCCACAGCTGAAAACTACATGCCATCATATGTAGCGTTATGCTGTAATAGGAAAAAATAATGTTCAAGTGAATATTATGTCAATTGATGCTGAACCTCAAGTCTCTCAGTCAACGAGACAATAACTCAATGCAGATAAATGTGGGAAGTTCCTAAATAGATTAAGGCATCATCCCAGAGCAGAGGTGGCACCTGCCAACTTGGGCTGGTACTGAAATAACTACCTCAGATCAAAGGCTTACAATAATTCGTTCAGGCCAAAGATGGAGGACCTCATAATTAGATTATCTTGTTAATACTGGAAAAGAAGTCTCTCATTATACAATGACACACGTAGATCAAGTTGTGAAAATCCTTTTTTAGAGAGGATGGCACTGTGACTGCACAAAATTAAAAAGGCAAAAGCTTTATGGAAGACATCACATGGCCATGCAACTAATGACTGCATTGCCACACATCTGCACAGACTGCCAAGCTTTGCAATTCTCGACCATCATATCATAATCGTACAATTTAAAGATAGAAAAATGCATTCCAAAACTTATTTTAAAAACTTCCATTACATCACAGATCATTATGAGCATTTGAACATTAAAATCTAGCATCACAACAAATGTTACAACTACTCAGCTTACAAAACCTTAATATCTGGTAACTAACTAAATCCTGGTGTTTGGACACATTCAGGTATGTATTGGCTCAAAGAGGAGACCGGCAGAGCGGACCTCCTTCTCGTGGCCTTGGAAGTGTTTCAGCTCCACATTATACCTGTTGTGAGACTGAAATGATATCACCAGACTGAGGCAAGAGCGACCACGGCTTTTCTTGGGTTAAGAGATTTGGGAAATTTTGCCTGATAATGCCAAGGCATGCAAAACTGTTATGGCACCTTCTAACCCAGTGCAGTGGTTGCTGTAATGACAACATAAAAACTGTAGAAGTGTGGTTTTCATATGTTTTTGAATTCTACTAAAGTTATTCCTGAGATCACGCATAAGGAAATAGAGTTTAAAAAAAAAGTTATTTCACCACCACCCCCAAAAAAAGAAAGGAAAAAAAGGAAAAAAAAAAGGTAAAAATGGTACTTCTCTATCCCAAGGATATTAGGCTATTTCACCTTCGGAATATTGTAAGTTCATCAAAAAAGAGTTGGAGATAAGAATACAAAATAAAAGAAGAGGTAAATCACAATAATATTTTAATATGGAAAGCCTTTGGCAATCAGCCTATGATACAGGTAGCTATATAACACTTCTCTTTCTCATTCACTATCTACTGAACTCATTGAGAACAGCAGTTACTTGCAGAACAGCAACTTAACTTAAAGCCATTCTGGAAGCTTGTAGTTACAGCTTATAAAGTAAATTACCATGAAAAGTGCTCAAAAAATGACCACTTGCTACTTTTAGGGGCAGAAGGATGTCTTCTGTTGTTTGTCACAGTGACTACAACTACATATAAGATGTATGAACAGACCAAGAAAATGCTAGAGCTTCTTTCAAGCTGTATTTACCTTGAACTCATGTTAGAAGAGTAGTCACAGCCAAATTTTGGTATTTACACTACTGTAAAACCTTGGATTAATCCTGTATTTAGCCAAAGTTAAAATGATTATCAGTGGTTATGTTACACTAGTTTCAAGTCGAAATAGAACTGAACTACCAGCCTTTTTCAAAGTCCTTACTTCGGATGCAATTTGGTATCCGGCACGTCAGACACGTTCTGTGACTTCGATTCTACAGCATCTTGGAGACTATCTGCGTTACAGTTTTCTTTACTCTCTCTAGAGAGATAAAACAATTGCAAAGAAACTACTACAATTTTTGTAGTCTTTCCATTACATTCACTTGCTTTTTGTGTTTTAACTACATTTGTATCTCCTTACATGAAGCTAAATTCAATGTTTTTAAGTTTAAAATATTTTTCCAGACAAAAGGCATCCAACAAACAAAGGATTGTCTTGAAATGTGGAAACTCAATCTTATTAAGATAAATATATTATTGTTGAGTTTGGCAATGCCCGTATTATCTTAGCTGGTGATCTGTTTAAGACAAATTTATTCAGATGGCATGTAAAAATGTACAACATTAAAAAAAGACATTAATTCACTGTTTGTTTACAGATCAAATTTTAAACACAATTATGTAATTCAAACATGAGGTACTTTCAAATGTAAGAACAGATTTACAGTTGTTAACTTATTTGGAGCACAAACTAGATAAAATTCTTCTCAACCTTCTTGTAACTTTATGACTGTTTGGCTAAGACTATCAAACAAAACAGACTATCTGCAGTAAAGAAAACTCATTGGTTGCACATATTTGCTCTACTTTGATCCTAAACTGAAAAATTAACGGTACATATACACTCATTCTCTTCAAAAGTTTTGGACAATTACTTATGAAATGTTAATTTATCACTCTTTGAGGAAAAAAAAAAAAATCCTAAAACTTCAGGTCCTTTATTCCTATCCACAATAGGGACATCAGAGGTTAAGCAGCAATATAAAATTTTCAATACTCTCTTTTTGATGCAACATAAGCACGAACTAAAGAAATGGATTAATACGGTGAGTCTACTTGGTTTCTTCCCCACTAGATAACTAACCAAGATTACTAGCAAAGATGCTAATTAAAGCAGTATTTTTCTTATACTGGTTTGCTAGAAATTAGATGGACACCTAATCAAATTCCATGTGCATTACTCAATAGCCTTAAGCACTACTAGTTACCTTTTGACAGATTTCCCATACATGCCACATCAATGAGACAGTTACTTCCCAAAGAACCAACTTGTCTAAGAAGTGCTGATAAGAAGCAGACGTCCCATTTAATTTAAGAAAGTGCAATTTTGCTCACTCAATGGCAAACTCACAGACATGCCAAGAGGAAAAGCTGGGGAATGGGAGCTAAACAATCCTGTAGATTCAATAAAAAAAGACAGCAAAGAAGAGGTTCTTATGGGTGCCAAAGTGGCAAGCAAGTTGAAGAAAAAAAATAAAAAAAACCAATAACAAAATCAAGATGCATTTACATTTGCAGTTACTCCGTTTCTGGCTCATGCTCCTAATTTCTTAACATGACATCTTATTCCACACCAAACAATTCAGAAAATCTTCCGGCTGCCAATTCAGGGAGAGGATCTGTATTATAGTCAAAGCATTACACTTCAGCTTGCTTTTTTATTTTTTAAAAATATATTTGTGAAAGCTTTCAACTTAGCATCTTTAGAAACAAGCTCTTTGTACGCCAAAACTTAAGGGAAAATTACTGAAGTGCATTATGAATCTCTACCTGAGCACTGTACTCCAAAATGAACATAAAATTCCTTCTCTTTTAAGCAGAGAGGTGGTAGCAGGACACATTGAAACCTCTTAGAGGGCCATTTTTGCAAGGATTTGTTGGAGACTCTCCTACCATCTTAACAGACAAAGGTTCATCCTTTTAGAGAGAGAGAGAGAACATGCAGAAGAAGAGAAAATAAATTTCCTAAGAAATTACGGGACGAATTTCTCAAAGATACAGACAGAAAACAATCAGAAATAACAGCCCCCAGCATTAGTGAGGTTGGTCAGGTAATTATAGTGTGCTCCTATCATGAGAAAGAGCAATTCTGGGAGAAGGCTGCAAGTGGCAGCTACAGCCAGTTCCCTTTGACTGAACGGCACAGAATGATGCCAGAAAGGTCACTAACTGAACTCAGAAAAAAATGATGTTTACTGGAAAGTTACTTAGTTATCAGTTCTGAACTACAGAAAAACAGCCTGGACCAGTGTGACATACATATTTCACAAACACATACCATTTCTGTTCACACAGTACAACAAAAATGTAACCTCATTTAAAACAGAGTAGTTAAAATAGTGGAATCCCTTTACAAAATATGAGTTTGATAATTTGAAAGGCTATGGGCAATCCCAATAATGGAGTCATTCAAAGTATCAGGCCTTGAGATCAAGCAAAATCGGAGATACATGATAACAAAATTATGCAGGATTAAAAAAAATTACCTAAACCAATCAAGTGTAAGTAATCTAAGACAGATAATAATTCACATTAAAATCCGCCATTTAAATTCATATGTACAGAATTCTAGCAAGGTGTGATCTATCTACCTCCTCTCCCATGAACCATTTTAGAAAAGTGTACATGCACACCTTTCTATATGCCACGATTTAATATACTTCAGTAATCCTAGTATTCATATTAGAATGACATGCAAAGACAAGCATTACTTGAAACGCTAAAACAGCTGGAAAGATATCCATAATTCTAGTCCTAAATCTGTTATCTGTTGGGTACGGTCCTTCAGTCACCAGCTTCTTTAGAGAAAAAAACAATCAATGCAAAACAAGGATGCATTTGTTCTAAGCACTGACAATAAATACTTGATGGTTCTCCTCGTGAAAAAAGTGATGCATTCTTTCCATTATTTCACTAAACACTTAGATATGCCAGAAAACTGCCAGGACCCCTGAGTATGTGATTAATTTCTGGTTTCCTCTTGCTGTGTCTTAGAAAACGATCCAAGAGAACGTGGAAAGAAGCTGTGAACTCAACACAAAAAAATATAACCACAAGAAACATTGAATTCAGTTAGTATATCTAGAGCAGGTCTCAGCGCATTCTTTGCACTAATTCTCATATATGAATGCTCCATTACTTAACGTAGCAAAAAAAATGTAATGGAGAATGCAAACAGTTTATTTTAAAGAATGAATGTGCTTCCACATTGTTTTAAAAGTGAAAATATAGTAACCAGAAGAGCAGGGTGCCTCACCAGCTCCTCATGACCGGGCACTTGCCAAACAAATTATCTCTTACGCTAATCTGGTTTAATTATTTAACTGTATATAAAACCTATTAACCACAGCCATCAGAAGGTGCCATCAAAAACTGGCTGAGCTATTTCCCTTTTTGAGAGTATTTGAGGAATCCATTAGGTAGCCTATCATCCTGCACGTTAACATTCCACAGCTCAAGATAGAAAGATACTTTTTATAAAACTGGAGAGTGAAAAGAGGGGTGAAAATGGACAGGACAAAGCAGTTGGAAGAAACTTTACACTCATTTAGTGAAATGGCTTTAGTGTAGGTAAATTCCAAGAGAAAAAAATGTGTGCTTCTGCATTAGTTTGAGTTTTAAGATAGTTTCCTAAATATCTGGAGATGAAGGAAATGATTCTTTCTAAACTAAAAGAAAATATGATACAGATGCACGTATCATCAATATATTGAAGAAACTGCATGCTCATTTGTGTCTCAATCTTCTTTGATACCTATACAATAAGCACTGAGCACTTTGCCATACCAGAATTAAGAATCATTTATGGAGAAATGGATCACCACTCCTGGGAACTCTCTAATAGAAGGCTCCCTGTCAGAAGAGAGAGCCTAGGGTCTCTCTGTAGAGTGCTATAGCAGACGGACCCTAAGGTAATTCCTTCCACTTCTAGGTAACAGAAAAGTGTGTCACTATTGCGTAATGGAGAATGAACAAGCACATCTGTCTTCAGTCCATCGCCAAGAGGACACTGGCGAACAAAACAGATGTTACTGCCACTCCACATCCTGCTCTGAAACCTGGCTTCCATCCAACAAATAATATATAAAATACTGCCTGTCATTACCATCTCAGTATCTTTCTTAGAAAAGTGAATTTATAGACACGGCATCAAATAAAATATCAGTATTGTCAACCTCATTTTCAATGGTATTAATGCACTGCTTTTAAATTGCTAGATATGAAAATTGACATGCGTAATACTGCAAAAGCACATAAACTAGCTCCTACAGTAATGAGCCAGAGACACACTTATATCTCTTCCCCGATTTTATAAATATGTAAAATTAATTTATTTGTTAAAATTCAGAATGAATCCTTTGTTCATTTATAGTACTTAGTTTTAAAAAATTCAGTAGCAGTAATAACTGAGGACAGATCTTACACATTTTACAGATGTTAAAGTTAGCTTCAAAATACCTCGTCTTCCATGAGTTATAAATAGCATGGGGTAAACTATTCATTTTCAGTGAGACTTGGTGCTTGAATCACTTTCAAAAACAGAATTTCATAATTTCTGAAAGCCTCATCTATAATTTCTGTTCTCATACTGCGAAAACAGATCCATCTTTCAAGTTATACTAATAGTAACCATGGGCTTTACTTGATACTGAAACCGCCTGCAAGCTCTCTGATACAAAAGCAGCAGACTTAAACAGAAAAGAGGACAAGCATCCTTCTGAAGTGCTTAAATTATGCACAAGACATCAAACACAGACCCTGCCTGAAAGACCAGTTTAGTAACTTGCATCGTTATTGCCACACCTCTGTGTATCATTTTCATTGGTGAACAGTAAACAGTACCCTTCTGACAAACACATACAGAACAGAAAATTGCTTAGACTGAAGTCATAACTTGCAATCACCTATTTCTAAAGTAAACAAAACAATTCCATCATAAACTTATTGTAGAAAGACTTTAACCCACTATAAAGGTTGTGGCCATCATAAAAACCAAATGAGAGTATACTAGTAAATTCTCATAGGAAAGAAAACCTGGTATCTTTACTTCGATTTCCATGCAGAGGCATTCAAAATTCATTCCCTCTCACCCTTCAACACTAAGTAATGTTACACAGTGATTTCTGCAAAAGGTAGCACAACTGAAAGGCTCGCTTTCTTATCTTACTTCACCTGCTCAAATAGATTTCTCCAAGTAAGGAGCACTAATGAAAGAAAACTGAAGTTGGAGAGCAACCATACCTTTATATGCTCCAAAACAGCTGTTGCAACATTTGTATGAAGATCAATGAGCCTCTTCTTTTCCAGAAGTTCTGGAAGAGAGCTGAAGAGATTAAATACAAACTAACCTGCTGAGTTGCACAGTTAGATGAATTGTGTATTGTATACAGTTGGTACAAAAAAATTTATAGAATTACGGAACAGTTTGGGTTGGAAGGGACCTTTAAAGATTATTAAAATCTAAAATTATAGAATATGGTAGGATTGTAAATAAAGTATACATGTAATGATTCTCGTAACAGAAGGACGTTATCCACATGTAATGTAGCAAAACAGGTTTTTACCTTGACTAACAAAAAAAATACACATAATGTGGGTAATATAATATTCCTATTGAAAGATTGTGATCAACAACAGATATATGCCCTGCCTACCTAAACAAATAATCTACTAGAATTATGGCTCTTATGATCAACATTTAGTTCATGTCTGATACATATAGAAGTGTCAATATCTGCCAAATAATACTATCTGCCAAATAACATCAAATAATGTCAAATAATTATCTAATAATATTAAATAATAACAATATCTGTCTAATAAACATAGAACCTCTGGATGTCCTGGAATTTGTCACAGGTGCTTCTGCATAGAACACAACCCTCTATGCAGGATTCATGATTGAAATCTTGTCTTTTGTGAAATAGGAAACTGAATGGTTAAGTTTACTTAAGGTGTTGTGATCTACAGGATTTTCACTGCTGGCCTTTTTACATATCACGTGTAAAAGACTGCTCAGGGTCTATACACTTTCACATTCAAAAGCACTCTGGAGAGTCAGTGTTTTTATTCAGTTTATAATAAGTGCATGAGAAGGCACCTAATGACATTGACTGCATGTCCTGAAGAATCATAAAGTTAAATAACCATACTTCCTTTCCTCCTTTAAGCAATTACAAAATCCTATGAGGATTGGCCATTAATGACTTTATAGCTGGAAGGTGGTAAGTACTGTCTTTGTAAAGGACCGCATTTTAAAAAAAGAAAGAAAAAAAAAAAGACAGGAGATCCTCTATGTTAGAACCTCTGTTTTTTAATTACAAATAGATATTCCAAAGTTTTCTAGAAATTGTAAAGCCTAAGACAACTCTGAAGAGTATCTTCTTCCTACTAGCAGATGATGGAGAAGAAAACAGCAAAGCCTAGTTTAATTCTTTCAGCAGAAACATGCCTAAATCTAAGACTTTAACAGTATTTGGACTTCTCAGCATAATACTGAAGATCAGAGCTGAAACACTGCAATAGGAGAGTTTACTGTGTTATACACTTTTCTGAAGGGGGACAAAATTTTCCTTAATAATGCCAGATTACAGAAAACAGTTATATAGAGGCTAACTGAACAGTAAAACTTCCTGATGAAGCTTTAGTCATATGATTTCATTTTTTTTGCTTTCAGCTTAAAGGTTTTGATCCTTGTCACTTTCATACCTTGCTGCCTTAACCTGAAAACCAGCACCTTGGAAAGTACAAAACTTTAGAACTTTATAAGAGGAGCTTGGAAACATCTGCTCACTCTTTTGAAACTGTCTGATCCATCACACATCCTGTAATTCCAATCAAATTCTAACCACAGCACAGCATACAAAACAATTTTTGAAACTCACAAAGAGACAACTAACTAATGCAGACACATGCTGGATTTCACAGGACACTGGGCATATCATCCCATCTATCCTCAGAATAATTGTCGTTCCTTCTTCCTTCTGACTAGGGTCTTAGCAAAAGGCAGCAAAATGAACATCTCTCATCTCCAAGGCATCAATGAATGAGAAACAGGTTTACAGTGAGGAACAAGTCTAAATTTCAGACTTTCAGCATCATCTATGATGGCTAGGTCTCCAAAAGCAGGAGAGCAAATTTCCCATGCAGAGTTCTTAATGACTATAAACTTGCCAACAGACATTACAGTAACTATATAAATCAAAATGTAATTAATGATACACTGTGCAAAGCAAACAGATGCTTCAGGAAGTGGATTTCACTAACAGTTTTTTAAAGGAAGGCATGCAGAGGTAGGTAGTTGCGTTTTTCTGGTGGAAGAGTGTAAGCAATTCTATGATGCACTTAGATTATTCAACTTTGATGAGGAAACACTCCAAAGCCATGTGTAGAGGGCTCACACACACATGCTGTGGAAGTTACATGTGCAAGTACTTGCCCAGGACATTGCATTGAACTTTACCAGAATTATAAAGCATTTAAACTCTACTATTGAGCTGAATAGCTTACTTTTAAAGCTATTTATTTCAAAGGATATTAAAAGTGAAATGTCAGAAAGACTTAGAAATGGTTCCCAATTAACTAAACAAGAATGTATTATTGATTACTTACCTGACAGCTGAAGTTAGCTTAGCTGTATTATCAGAAAGCATACTTATTGCTCCTTCATCCTCCCCTTCTATACCCTGGGTTTTCAGGAAAGGTTTGGAAAGAGGAATTAGAACAGTCGTAATAAATACAAAGATCACACATGCAAATAGAGTCAGTGTATTTAGAACGTATTATCTCACAATGGTATTAATGTCTGGATTCTGTTTTACAGTTATTCTGGAAGTTATATAAATGTAACGCCAATAAAAGCACAAAACCGAACCTTCTCATGAAATATGGTACTTCTAGTCCTACCTTTAAGATTGTATCAAGCCTAAAATTCCGCACATGCTGATAATTTGGGGGTGGGTGTGTGACAGAGTGAGCTAAGGATCTCTACAAGTCCTATTACAGTTTACATAAAACACATATAGGTGATAAAACTTACCATGATACTTTTAAGTCTTTTGACTTCATCTTCTTGGGCTCTGTAGGATTCCAGTTCTTGCTGAACAGACTCAGCTACCTCTGGAAAAGGACTAATGCAATACTCTGCATTAGGCTCAGTTAAATCAACAAATTGAAACACTAGAACCAGACAGGTTGCATGATGATCATGAAAATGTTTTCAGAAATTTCAATACACAAATCACGCAGATGTATCCAATCAGTGAAAATAATGACATCTTACTGTAGGTTCACTTAAACTTTCTTAGATATATTCACTGCTTCCAATATTTTTATATAATTTTGATATGAACAATTTTGTGCTCTGTAACAAAAAGCTAATAATTAATTTGGACAATGAATACTGACAATGATCATTCCTTAAAGAAAAGCAAACGTCAAAAAATATTTTCAAAGAAGCTTAAAAATAGAACTATCATAATATGAAGAATACTTAGAATTTATATGTATTTACTAAATTAATATAAACTGTCTACATATACAGCTTACCTGCCCTTATGCTTTTGCCAGAATTTATCAGATGCCGTTAAATCATAGGACTTCTTATTTTTTTTCTTTGGTCTAGCACCTGTTGGAGAACTTTCCGTTCCTGTTGATTCTTCCAAGTTAACTCTATTCAAATGGAAATCCTAAAAAAAAGAGGAATCTTATGCAGATATTTGACAGTTTTTCATTATTTAATCAGTCTTTTATACTCAACCAAGTATCTTCTAGAAGATTTTCTTACAAAATAGTGACACAGTTACTTGTTAGAATTTCATCAGAGGGCAGGAAACAGTTTAGGAACTGACCAGATATTATGTAACAGCAGCAATGTAAGAACTCCAAAATTACTCACACTTATAGAAAAAACACCAAACAAAGCAACAAAGAAAGATGTCTAACTGTTTCATATGCAACCAATCTTCTGACACTGAACTCTGAACACAGCTTTCTGTACGGAAAAATAAATTATTTAGCAATAACTGGTCTCTAAATAACTGACCAACACTTTAAAGTAACAAAAGTTTCTGTGTTGCAGACAAAAAATGTTTCTAAGGCTAAATTTCACTTACACAACTACAGCAAATGTATCAATGCTGCAGCTCACGGCATCAGCAACAGGAATATCCACTGTGAGGACTACTTAGCTACACGT